AAAAAAAACTCTGACCGTTTTTTTAATTAAAATGCCCACTTTGTGGTCTATTTTCGTATAGTATCTATGGTTGTATTCTCGCTTTCTTGATCTCATTTGATAGAATGGAAAACATATTATAGAAATAGAGGTGATTTTGATTGATTTTACTATAAAAAGAACCTGGAAATGGAGCTCAAAGTAGGGGAAATGTTTGATTTTTGCCAATGTTCAAAAGTAAACAAATGATGCCATTGTCCAATAAATGTCCAACTAGCCATTCTAATATGCAGTCATGAATGGGTTGACGTTATTTATACAATTATTACAGTATTGCAGTAGTCTGCATAACAGTAAATCTTCTACTTTTTGTTTGAATAAAAATTCAAAATAGAAAGCAAGAGTAATATCAGAGGGGCCTGGAGACGTGACTGATGAACAAAGAAAATGTTATTTTAGAACCAGGAATGTCTGCATTGTTCATTCTGGACCTTATTTTGAAATTGTCATATTTTTTAATTTTCGTGAAATTGGCCAAATTGCAAATTTCTGACCACGTTATTGGGTAGTTGAAATCGGTAAATGGGCAGTTTCTTGTACTCAATCTGATAGAAAAAAATGGAGTTCTAGAAAAATAACTATGAGTTTGGTCGATTAGAACACTGGAATTAGCCGAAAATTGGGCTCAAAGTGGGCAAAACCGCCGATTTGTAAATATCACCAAGGTCGCTAATTTTGCGAGAGCGTAATTCTGTCAGTTTTCCGTCAAATTTCGTTTTTTTGGTGTCATTACAATCGGGAAAAGATTCTCTATCATTTCATAAGAAAAAATAATTTTTTTTTTGAAATTTTGCAACACCAGGAGACACCTCAAGACTGGGGGTTGCAACAGTCAAGGGGTTAAAATCATTATCTTTAAATCCTAAACCTCTCCCAAACACTCCAGCATTCACCTCTTTTACAACCCCATCTATAAAAATGTTAAACAACAGTGGTGACATCGTGTATCCCTGTCCAAGACGTTCTTTAACTGGAAAATAATCTCCCTGTCTCCTGCATACCCTAACTTGAGCCACACTATCCTCATAAAAGGTCTTAACTGCTTTAAGTAACCTACCATCTATTTCATACACTTGCAACAAAATTTAACATTAATACATTCATCTGTGATCAAACTTTTATTAGTAAATGCCCACTGCAATATTACAAAAGTTACATGATCTAATGTACCTTACATGCTAATAACACCCTCAACTGAAGAACAATTAACTATTTTTTATTATTGTATCTGAAATTATATTTCTTTTAAATAATGAGATTTAATTCCATATAAGATATAATGATATATATGTAAAATCTGGGATATTTACCAGGAAGATTAATTTGTGTGTGCATTATGATTTGATACACAAAATAATTAAGCTGCTACTGTAAGAATAACTGCTATGTACTGATACTTAAACTACAGGTGTCTTAGACCTTTGTAAGGGAATAAGACACAATGTTTAAAGATATGTACCTGCACAGCAGTTCCTGGGTAATCCCTCTCCTGTTGAAACACCTTAATGTGACTTCATTATCTAAAAGTATACAGAACTATGAATGGAACTGCAATGAAAGTGAAGTGAATTTTGTAGATTAAAAACTCTACAACATTAAAGTTGTAATAAAGTTGGTAGAATTACCGACAATATGTAAAGTAAAAGGACATAAGTGCAACTAATGTCACATTTTATTGTGGCAACGTTTCGCTCTCCAGGAGCTTTGTCAAGCCTTTATTTGCCCTCTATGTCCATATATTGTTTGTATCAGCTTGACAAAGTTCCTGGAGAGCGAAACGTTGCCACAATAAAATGTCACATTAGTTGCACTTGTGTCCTTTTACTTTACAACATTAAAGCTACCAACCACGCCATGGAAAAGATAAAAGTACTGCAACCAAATTTTCATATTTGTATTTAAAGATAGTTTTGTAGTGGACACATCCAGTCACCACATGACAAGTGTTGCATATTATTACCCTTGTCACACAGGCCTGGTAACACATGACACATTACAGTATCATGACCAACACTGTCAGAAAGCACTCTTGTCAAGGAAAGGGGAGGGGATGGGCACTGTGATACCAGTGAAGAGCTCTAGATTCAAGGCATTAGAACTTTCCTTCCTCCCATTCCTGATGCCATTTAGTGTTTCCCCATAAATACAGAATAATTATATTTATGGGGAAGTGATAGACCCATAGGAGTCATACTATGCCTGTGGAGTAAGAGGAAATCAGGTTTGCTCCAAGGGAGACTTAATCTTGTATCAAGAGCCCTTCTCCAGTAGCAAGGCAGTCTCTCCTCTTAGATACCACAAGATGAAGTTAGTTGCTTAATGTGTGCCACTACAGCTGACAGACAAGACAGACAGACACACACACACACCAACACAACAGTACTACAATATAATGATGCAAACTACCTGCCACTAAAAAAAAAGAAAAATCAATGAACACTGAAGTGTGCAAAATAATTACCATTCCAACAAGCTGACCTGGAATGCACAACTTGCAAAATGTCACGCTTTCTATTCACTACAAAAGTGCCATTGTTTGACAAATGTTCTGCTAACTCTGCTGGTGAAAAACTGCTTTCACACAAGTCTTTTACTATGATCACACCAACTGCACATCCCTCGACTATAACCTACAGCCAGACACCTGAGAGCAGAAGGAAAGAACAGCTTATGTGATTCACACTTTTTTCCTCAAGGATATCCAAACTTGAGATCCTGGATTAAGGATCTGCTCAGTGTCTGAAGTATGATACAGTACTTACACATGTGAGCAGCTTTTCCTTCATGAAATTCATAATTTCATCTCTTCTTCCATAAACTTCCATTGCACTTGCCAATACTTACTATGACCAAGATAAATATGGATGCATTAACAGATGCAATAAAGATGTGAGTACATAGTGTATAATTTTATTTAACTTATACCATTACAACCTTAAATTTACACATTTTTTGACTGACTGCTAGCAAATACAGGTCAGCCATCACTAATCCGGCATCATTGGGACCTGTAGTGTGCTGGATTAGCGAGTTTGCCGGATTACAGAGTGGTTAGGTTAGAATACACTTAATTAACCTATCAACAGAGACTGTTTCTACTAGATCTTCCTCATTTTCATCACTGCTTTCTCCTCCACTAGCTTGCTGCTGTGGATTTACAACCATCTGCACAATTTCTGAGTCAGTATAATGATCCGAGTCAGTATTATGATGAAACTTGAAATTATGCTAGCCGAAATTATTGTTGGATTACTGATGGAACCGGATAACTGATTGCTGGATTAGTGATGGCCGACCTGTACTTCAGCAACAATGTGCCTTTCCCTTCAGTTTAAATGTTAATCAAAATTGGAATGTGTAACAACATTATGTCTGCACAGAAAAATTCTATGGTAGGTAAAGTAGAAAAATTCTAAAAAACTTCATAAATACCTCCAGATCTCAGAAATGTATTGATAATATAGGGGAGGAAGGGGGGAAATGAAAATGCCCATGCTGGTTGATTGGAAAAGAGGAAACATGAGCAACCCATGCAAAATAAAAAATAAAAATGTTTTGCTAAAACAGAGGATTGTTTTTAGCACTATCAGTTGGGAATATGAGGCAACATTTGTTGAACTTCAGAGAGCAATTCTGGAAAGACACTACTTTTTTTTTTGTGTGTATGTAAATAATAAAGAAAGAAGACAGTGTTGTATGACCCTTTCAGGTTTAGTGCTTAACTTGATATTAATAACAATGATGAAATAATAATGAAAGTAGACTAGAAAATCTTTATTTACAAACAGATTGGCAGTCTGCTGGAATAAGATCCAAGAGGCAGCAGTATGTGCTCCAACTTATGGAAACTAAAGCAAAGCTACTTTACAAATTCAATACTGAGGACAGGGCACCACAAACACTGCTCTGCTAAGCTAACTACAAAAATGTAATTATACACTATAAGGTGACATGCCAATACAGCTTTTTGTAGTGTACAAGAGTACAGTATAGTATATAAGATAATGTGCAAACATATAAATATATGGTTGGTATATGAGGTAATGTTCCAGAATCCTGGGAGATTCTGAAGAGAAGTTGCAGAGGTTGGTGGATAAATTAAAAGTGAATATAGGAAAGAGTAAGGTTATGAGGATAACAAAAAGATTAGGTGATGAAAGATTAGATATCAGATTGGGTGGAGAGAGTATGGAGGAGGTGAATGTATTCAGATATTTGGGAGTGGACGTATCAGCAGATGGGTCTATGAAAGATGAGGTGAATCACAGAATTTATGAGGGAAAAGGGTGAGCGGTGCACTTAGGAGTCTGTGGAGACAAAGAACTTTGTCCTTGGAAGCAAAGAGGGAAATGTATGAGAGTATAGTTTTACCAATGCTCTTATATGGGTGTGAAACATGGGTGATGAATGTTGCTGCAAGGAGGAAGGTTGGAGGCAGTGGAGATGTCATGTCTGAGGGTAATGTGTGGTGTGAATATAATGGCAGAGAATTCGTAGTTTGGAAGTTAGAAGGTGCGGGATTGCCAAAACTGTTGTCCAGAGGGCTGAGGAAGTGTTTTTGAGGTGGTTCGGACATGTAGAGAATGGAACAAAACAGAATGACTTCGAGAGTGTATAAATCTGTAGTGGAGGGAAGGCGGGGTAGGGGTCGGCCTAGGAAAGATTGGAGGGAGGGGGTAAAGGAGGTTTTGTGTGCAAGGGGCTTGAACTTCCAGCAAGCATGCGTGAGCATATTTGATAGGAGTGAATGGAGACAAACAGTTTTTAATACTTGACGTGCTGTTGGAGTGTGAGCCAAGTAACATTTATGAAGGGATTCAGGGAAACTGGCAGGCCGGACTTGTATCCTGGAGATGGGAAGTACAGCGTCTGCACTCTGAAGGAATGGTGTTAATGTTGCAGTTTTATAAACTGTAGTGTAAAGCACCCCTCTGGCAAGACAGTGATGGAGTGAATGATGGTGAGCCACCCTGCCTTGGTGCAACTCGGCCGATGTGTTAATAAATAAATATGTAAATAAAGTTGAGTAGAGTACTGGTGGTTCAGACATGTAGAGAGGATGGAACAAAATAGAATGACTCTGAGTGTATAAATCTGTAGTGGAGGGAAGGCGGTGTAGAGGTCGGCCTAGGAAAGGTTGGAGGGAGGGGGTAAAGGTGGTTTTGTGTGCGAGGGGCTTGGACTTCCAGCAAGCATGCGTGAGTGTGTTAGATAGGAGTGAATGGAGACAAATGGTTTTTAGGACTTGACGTGCTGTTGGAGTGTGAGCAAGGTAACATTTATGAAGGGATTCAGGGAAACTGGCAGGCCAGACTTGAATCCTGGAGATGGGAAGTGCAGTGCCTGCACTCTGAAGGAGAGGTGTTAATGTTGCAATTTTAAAACTGTAGTGTAAGCATGCCTCTGGCACGACAGTGGAGTGAATGATGGTGGAAGTTTTTCTTTTTCAGCCCCCCTACCTTGGGAAATGGCTGATGTGTAATAATAAAATACAATATATAGAGTACTGGAAATTACAAAATACATGAAAGAGTGCACAGTAATAAAACTGGGTGTCAAGGAAGGAGCTAAGTGACAGTGTATCACCTGCAAGGGAAGAGAGATACTCTTTAGAATCAAACAAACTCCATAATCTGGAGTGGACAACATGCCAAACATATTATGTGAAACGTGAACAAAATGACAGCACATGCAACATTACCAAATGATAATGATGATAATGTTGATGTTTTATTTTTTTTTTGAGTCATAAAACTGGCCTTGAGGCCTTCAGAAACCTGAAAAAAAGACTCCTTCTAATCAATATTCATCACTGAGCCACCAACAAAAAAAAACCAAAGCTAAAGATAATTATTATATCACTTAGGAAGCACTAAACCTACAAGGTCATACACATGATAGCTGAGAGAGATGTTTCCTAACACTAGAACTGTGAAGCAAGAATGCAGGAACCAACTGGTAGATCTCATCACTGGAAGAGCATAGATCAAAAGGAACTATGATCATGACATCCAAAATACTCTGGGGCCCAGACAGGTACATAAGAACAGGTTAACACAAGATATGCTAGCAAAGAGTTCCTGATCAATGAACTGGGGCTACCTTCCTTTTTGACAATCTGACTGCCACCTGTTTTTTAGGCACCCATATGAATTTAGCACTTCTCTATAAATATAACACTAATATGGAAGGGTGGGAGACGGCCGACTTGTTGAAAAAAAAAAAAAAACATTATTAGGGAAGGTACATGGAAGCTGTACACTCAGATTGACCATAAACACATTAAGAAACATTTCTACAATGTAATAGTAAAAGTTTTTACTTGTCACTTAGAACAAAAATTAGAAGTGGAGTTAAACTCAACTCTTTAGATATCTCACGAGGAGAATACAAGTGGACGAGGATCAGGTAAGTCTACAAAGGGATCTGGACAGGCTGCAAGCCTGGTCCGACAAATGGCTCCTGGAGTTTAACCTCATCAAGTGCAAAGGAAGGACAAAAAAGACTGCAGACAGAGTACAGCCTGGTAAGAGGCTGCAAAACTCACTCAAAGAAAAGGATCATGGGGGTAAGCAGCATACTGAGCACATCTACTGAGGTGCACATCAACTAAATAACTGCTGCAGCATACAGGTGCCTGGCAAACCTGAGAATAACATTTCGACATCTAAGTAAGGAGTTATGTACACGGTGTACAGTGTCGTGAATAAGGCCCATACTGAAGCATGTGGCATCAGTATGGAACCCACACCTGGTTAAGCAGAGGAAAACATTAGAGAAAGTGCAAAGGTTTGCAACAAGACTAGTCCCAGAGCTGAAGGGGATTTATCCTATGAGGAGAGGCTAAGGGAACTCAACCTGACAACACTGGAGGACATGAGGAATAAGAGGAACATGATAATGATATATAACATACTGAGAGGAACTGATAAAGTGGACAGGGACAGAATGTTTCAGAAATGTAACACAGCAACAAGGGGTCACAACTGGAAGTTGAAAACTCAGATGAGTCATAGGGATGTTAGGAAGTACTTCTGCAGTCATAGAGTTGTCAGGAAGTGGAACAATCTGGAGAGTGATGTAGTGAAGGCAGGATCTATACACAGCTTCAAGAAGTATGATAAAAGCTCATGGGGCAGGGTGAGAGTGAACTTAGTAGTGATCAGTGAAGAGGTGGGTCCAGGGGCTATGAATTGACCCTTGCAACCACAATTAGGTGAGTTCATACATATGTACGTACGTGTGTGTGTGTGTGCGCGCGCATGTGTGTGTGTGTGCACGTGCGGGTGCGTGTGTATGCACACACTGCTCATACTTCTCATATTTCATCTATATTTTACTCAATCTCTTTTATCACCCACTTTTTGCAACTCTACATTCTTAACCACATGTTAAGAATATAGATTTGTAGATTTGACAAATTCTTTGTAACTAAAGTAATAGTCAACTATGAGATTCTCTTGTGCTACTTATTACCATGTAAGAACTTTTGTTTTTTTTTCAGGAGTTGCAGTGTCTTAAATATTAAGATTCTTACAGACTAGAAATGCTGATGCTCTGAAGCCAATCACTGTGGAGTATATCTTGCTAAAGAATATTAAAACTGTTAAAATGTACACAGTCCTAAAAAATTTGAAGCAGCTGCTGTAATATACAAACTCCATGAACACAACTCTACACTACTCGCACTAAGTTAAACAAAGTACCAATGTAGCAAATGTATTAAGCAGTCTTGTTGATCCTTTAACACGAGACATAATTATGGCCAGCTACTAAAATGCCTGATGATAATTTTGAGAATGTTTACACAAACATTCACACCACCCTAGCAGATTAAATACAAGTAATTTATATCATACCAAACATTCAGTCAACTATGTACTACTAATAAATGTACACTTGCGTGACAAAATATATTTCAAACTCACTGCAAACTTAACACTTTCTTTGCACATGAAAAGAATAAGATACAAAAAGAATTAATGTGCTAATTTTGTTTAGGTATGACAATATAAATTTCTAGTGTGGAGGACAACATGTATACATCTACCATCTGTTAAAAACTAATGGGTAGATAATATGCCTAAATTACCAATAACATCTTCGGTACTAGGCTAAGTGAATACTGTATACATACAATCACTGTTTAATGGTTTTGTATTTTCATAAACATACCAATACATCTAAATTAACTAAATTAAAATGTTAGTGCACACAGGTTTTCGATGCTTACATCAAATTAAAGTAAATCTTTATCATGTACCTGCACTACATTACCCTGAAGATAAACCAATTTAAAGCTTAGTACAGTAAACAACATAGTATCTGAAAACCCTGAGACCTGAAGCTTTTATTTTTAATAAAGGACTTCAGAGATACAGAAAATTTACTTGTACAGGGTGTACCAACATTTCCCATTCTTCTTTTTGATAATAATAATAATAATAATAATAATAATAATAATAATAATAATAATATTTCCCATAAATATAACATTTTAGTTACATGGATGGGGATGTTGGTTTGGTGGGTTATATAAATTGTCATGTATATACACTGCTAATGAAAAAGCTAATGAATGACTGATACATGACAAGTTGGTAAGTGCCATATCAAGCAGGCTGTGATGGGTGTAGGTCAGGCCACCAGCAGCAACAGCCTGGTTGACCATGCAAGAACCACACAAGCCTGGCTCATGGCCAGGCTGTGGAAATAGGAAAACTGCTGAAACTCATCAAAGGTATATCAAAGGCAAAGAAAAGGCATTATTTGAGTCGCACAACCTCAGTGAAAAATGACAGATGTAGTATAAACAAAACTCAAATTAGGTGTAGCATCTCTTGTAGTTTTGCATTATTTAGATAGATTACTACTACTGTAATATGCATTCACAAGTGTGCTCACACAATTTATACAATTACTACAATAATTCAGTACATCATCTATTTTTTTGTGTGAATCAAAATTCAAAATGGAAAGCAAGTGTAATATAGGATAGGCCTGGGGACATAACTAGTGAACAGAAGAAATGTTTTAGTGCCAGGAATGTCAATATTGTTTATTCTGGACCCTAGTTTTAAATTGGCAATTTTTTTGTTTGAAACTGGTCAAATTACTGATTCCTGATAACTATATTGGGTAGTTGAAGTAGATAAATGGGTGGTCACTTGTACTCAATCAACAGAATGGAAGGAATACTAGCAAAGCAGCTATGAGTTTGGTTGACTGGAACAATGAAATTTGCCTAAAATAGGACTCTGAATGGGCAAAATCACCAATCCATAAATATTGTTGAGACCGCTAATTTTGCAAGAGCGTAACTCCATAAGTTTTCCATCAAATTTCATACTCTTGGTTTCATTACCTTTAGAAAAAATTTTTCTATCATTTCATGAGAATTTTTTTTTTTTTTTTTAATTCTTGGACCTTGAAAGCAATTCTCAGACCAGGGGTCTGGACCCTGCCTTCCATGCTTGAGGGCAATCCATCTTCTTAAGCAGACATCATGGCACTGTCATAAAAATGGTCAAATGGGTGACTGTCGGCAACACCTTGAATAGCTGAAATATGATTTTATTGCGGCTGCGCTCAGTAGGTGCCAGTTTTTTTGTTTGCGTTAAATACTTTTAATTGTGTTTTGACATATATTTATACAGTGTACCTTGGGATATGAACTTAATTCATTCCAGAAGGCTGTTCGAGTGCCGATACTGAACGAATTTGTTCCCATAAGGAATAATGTAAATTACATTAATCCATTTCAGACCCAAAAAAATACACTTACAAAAGCACTTACATAAATACACTTACATAATTGTTCGAGTTTTGAGCTGTTTGTATCCCGAGGTACCACTGTAGTTCTAACTCAACCCAACATAGAAACGTGCTATAAACCGTATGTAAATAAGTGACATAGTTGGTTGGAGGATAGGTTGCTAAGGGGGCACAAAGAGACTTGGAACTTCTGCATTTGGATTTATGTAAGTGTTCAGATATCATGTTGTTTACTGCATGTTAATTTTTTTTTTTAAATATCAAGAATTCATAAACTAAAGCAACATGGATGATTCTTAATCTCTAAGACTTATTACTCCTAAAGATGTGTGTAGCTGCAGGTTACGAAAACATTATGAATTTGTACATAATGTAACAGTAATCACTGCTTGACTGATACATAGCACCTCTACTTACAATTTGGAAGTAATCATTAAAATTATGGCTATTTCTAAATTTTAATAAAAGCTGAGTAAGACTTGACAGCTGAAAACAACACTGAATGACCCACATGGGTTTAGCACATTTGTGTGAATACAATATAATAAGAAGAGGTAAAAGCTGCACCAGATGCCAAACAAGGGAAAGATCTTTGGTGTAGAGAGAGGAACTGGTACAGATGAGTATAACAAGGAAAGAACTGACACTAACTTCAATATTATATTGTTACTGCATCTGCTCAGTTCCTCAAGAAATTTTATACATTAAAATGAAATATATATTTTATTGATTTGCTTATTTAACCAGCTCATTATTAACTTACGGTATACACAGACTTATGATATTTCTAATTACATATATTTAATATATGAGACTTGGGTATTGGTGGCCACAAGGCCACATTTCCTCTTTTTGGCAGAAGAATGACCATTATAACTTCTTTCTTTCAACACACCGGCCATATCCCACCAAGGCAGGGTGGCCCAAAAAGAAAAACGAAAGTTTCTCTTTTAAATTTAGTAATTTATATGGGAGGAGGGGTTACTAGCCCCTTGCTCCCGGCATTTTAGTCGCCTCTTACAACATGCATGGCTTACGGAGGAAGAATTCTGTTCCACTTCCCCATGGAGAACCATTATAACAGCTTAGTACAAATTCTGTAGTTTTGAAGATACTCTTTTAAATTTGGTGCATTCCCATGATTATAATAATACATACAGAATTTCAATACAAAAATAAGTTTTCTTTAAAATAACTAAAATTTACAATCCCATTAACAAAAAAAATAAAACTAAATTTCCTGGCAATAATATTCACACTGTCAACTTCTAGGATAAACCTATAAGCTGTTCTGGCACTTAAGTTAAAACTACTGTGTACAACAAAAAGTTACATCAGACTTTTTCCTACTTGAGTTCACTGTAAAACTGAAGCCATGACCATTCCAAGTAGACAGTCCAGGTTGCGCAATTCACCAGACACATGTGCACCTTTCAAATTTAAAATGATAATTTTAAAGTGTCTTACCTAAAAGACTAATACATATATATGAAACAACCATCTCTGATGTAATGTAACACTGCAGCATACCTGACCAGCATACATAAATGGCAGAAGTTGTGCGTCTGTTATATTATAAAGGATATCTTACTACTCTTCTATGGTATATCCTTCATTTTCTTATCAAATGCGTCAGCCTCTTATGATAACTAATTAACTTTTCTATACAAGAAATATGAAAAATAAACAACTAAACTAAAACTTGAAAGGTCTTATATCAACTAACACAACAGTATAAGTTCAGAATGTGTTTTAAGTATATGTGCACTCACTACTGAACATGTGTGATCATGAATGGTGAAGGGAATTATTCATATATAAAATATTAAAAACACTTTAATTACTGAATACCTCAGCAAAAAGCTGCATCCTTAAAATAAAGCATCTTTACTAGAGTATGGTGAAAGCTCAATGCATAGTCTTATATACTGTAAGCATATGTGCTAGCAATAAAACTGTCATTTGCAGATAATAAGATTTAAACCCAGACGAGAAAGGTGGTCAGAGTCGTTGAGAGTTCCTGATACACGGCTCCGTTTGGGAGGGAAGAGAAGTGTTGATCATCATGAGTTGAAGAAGACTCACCCACCACCATTAAGCTGTAGAAGAACATGCATAAATGGTAACAGAGTAAAACACCTCTACTTTATGAAAGTCATTCACACTCCAAGAACTTCCAAAAGTTATGTGCTTTAATTTGACAGAAAGATGTGTTTGCCATATGCATTCACACCAAAATGCAGAATAAAGTTCCCTGAACCCATTAGTAGGTGGTATGCATATATACGTTACTTCAAAACACATGAATAAAAGTTAAACTGCAATTTTAAGAAGTTACCATAACCCATCAGCTGGTGAATTGTAATTGCTGTATCAGTATGTGCTATGCCTTAGTGTGCATATTAAATCAAGCAATTAGTAAGTTGACTGTGTTTCTGGTGATCTTTCAGTGTTAGAATGAGTTAGTCAAAAATGTAACAAAAAATATATACTGGTTATGTTAAAATACAAACTACTATTAAATGAATTAGGTGGCAAAATAAACAGAAGAGGTGACTTAACCTACAATGTGTGTTACTACACACACATATCCTTCACACTTAAAAGCAGAAGCTTTCTATTTGAAGTATGTGATTTGGCTCATCTTACCTCAGTGGCTGTGGGTTACCATTCATCCTCATGGAAGACTGTGTTTGTAATATATCTTCCCTGGCTGTGCTGTTAGTTATTCTTGGAGCCACTGTGGTAGCATTTGTGCTAATTAAATTTTGGCTTACTTCTGGACTAGCATCACTTTTGCTTGATAAAATATTTTGGTCTCTGTCAATTGGACTACTGTCAACATCTGGGTAGGCTTTTTCCTGGCAACTGGTCTGGGGGTCAGCAGCAGCAGCAGCATGATAAGACACTGTCTTAGTATTGTGATCTGTATCTGATACAGAGGCAACACACCCTCCTTCACTCTTCATACTCCTGCTGGTGCTACCATCTCTGTTTACAGATGAGTCTGACTTCTTTGGTTCCAGGTTGAGCTTCAAGACACCTGGTGAGAGTTTAAGGACACCATATTAAGGACACTAAAAAAAAAAAATACATCCTGTAGCCTATGTCAGCAAACTTCTAGCAAGACAGCAACTGAATGAATATTTATATTTATAGCAGTAACTCTTTTAACAAATTAAAATTACCACAATACAGAGTTAGAGTATTATGTTCATGGGGAGGAACACTAAACCCCTTGGGCTCATACAGTGCCTGCCTCCCATTCCCTCAGGCACTGTATGACCCCTGTGGATTTAGCACTCTCTGCATGAGTGTAATAATAATAATAATAATTGACATTCATTTTCTTAAGGACTTAACCTATTAAATGTGTCCAAAAAATCAGTAAGCACATCATGGCAATGCATCCAACATAATAGTCAAATAATGCACCTTATTTCTATTTTCGGAGGAGTATTACACCTTGAAACAATTGTCATATATAATGTTAGAAGACATTGTATATCTAACAGTTTCACCCAGAACAACGGCTTTTACAATATAGCTGAACCCCTTACCACAGAACTTCTCCATTGTTACCATGCATAGCAACAAACATACTTGCCCATTCCACAAAGGTCCTTTTCAAATCCAATCTCTTCTCAGCATTCTCCACCTGACTCCTCACTTCACTATTCTCCCTATATATAATATAATATAATATGCCTTGGTGGGAGACGGCCGACTTGTTGAAAAAATATATATATATATATATATATATATATATAAATGCAGCAGCAAGGAGACGGTTGGAGGCAGCGGAGATGTCCTGTCTAAGGGCAATGTGTGGTGTAAATATTATGCAAAAAATTCGGAGTGTGGAAATTAGGAGAAGGTGTGGAGTTAATAAAAGTATTAGTCAGAGGGCAGAAGAGGGGTTTTTGAGGTGGTTTGGTCATTTAGAGAGAATGGATCACAGTAGAATGACATGGAAAGCATATAAATCTATAGGGGAAGAAGGCGGGGTAGGGGTCGTCCTCGAAAGGGTTGGAGAGAGGGGGTAAAGGAGGTTTTGTGGGTAAGGGCTTGGATTCCAGCAAGCGTGCGTGAGCGTGTTAGATAGGAGTGAATGGAGACGAATGGTACTTGGACCTGACGATCTGTTGGAGTGTGAGCAGGGTAATATTTAGTGAAGGATTCAGGAAACCGTTATTTTCATATAGTCGGACTTGAGTCCTGGAAATGGGAAGTACAATGCCTGCACTTTAAAGGAGGGGTTTGGATATTGGCAGTTTGGAGGGATATGTTGTGTATCTTATATGTGTATGCTTCTAGACTGTTGTATTCTGAGCACCTCTGCAAAAACAGTGATAATGTGCGAGTGTGGTGAAAGTGTTGAATGATGATGAAAGTAATTTCTTTTTGGGGATTTTCTTTCTTTTTTGGGTCACCCTGCCTCGGTGGAGACGGCCGACTTGTTGAAAAAAAAAAAAAAAAAAAAAATATATATATATATTTTTTTTTCAACAAGTCGGCCGTCTCCCACCAAGGCAGGGTGGCCCAAAAAAGAAAGAAAATCCCCAAAAAGAAAATACTTTCATCATCATTCAACACTTTCACCACACTCACACATTATCACTGCTTTTGTAGAGGTGCCCAGAATACAACAGCTTAGAAGCATATACGTATAAAGATACACAACATATCCCTCCAAACTGCCAATATCCCAAACCCCTCCTTTAGAGTGCAGGCACTGTACTTCCCATTTCCTAGACTAAAGTCCAGTTATATAAAATAACCGGTTTCCCTGAATCCTTTCACTAAATATTACCCTGCTCATACTCCAACAGATCGTCAGGTCCCAAATACCATTTGTCTCCATTCACTCCTATCTAACACGCTCATGCACGCTTGCTGGAAGTCCAAACCCCTCACCCACAACACCTCCTTTACCCCCTCTCTCCAACCTTTTCGAGGACGACCCCTACCCCTCCTTCCTTCCCCTACAGATTTATACGCTCTCCATGTCATTCTACCTTGATCCATTCTCTTTAAATGACCAAACCACCTCAACAAACCCTCTTCAGCCCTCTGACTAATACTTTTATTAGCTCCACACCTTCTCCTAATTTCCACACTCCGAATTTTCTGCATAATATTTACACCACACATTGCTCTTAGACAGGACATCTCCACTGCCTCCAACCACCTCCTTGCTGCAGCATTTACAACCCAAGCTTCACACCCATAGAAGAGTGTTGGTACTACTATACTTTCATACATTCCCTTCTTTGCCTTCATAGATAACATTTTTTGCCTCCACATATACCTCAATGCACCACTCACCTTTTTTCCTTCATCAATTCTATGCTTAACCTCATCCTTCATAAATCCATCCGCTGACACATCAACTCCCAAATACAGTGGACCCCCGGTTAATGATATTTTTTCACTCCAGAATTATGTTCAGGTGCCAGTACTGACCGAATTTGTTCCCATAAGGAATATTGTGAAGTAGATTAGTCCATTTCAGAGCCCCAAACATACACGTACAAACGCACTTACATAAATACACTTACATAATTGGTCGCATTCGGAGGTGATCGTTATGCGGGGGTCCACTGTATCTGAAAACATTCACTTCTTCCATACTCCTCCTCCCCAATTTGATATCCAATTTTTCTTTATCTAAATCATTTGATACTCTCATCACCTTACTCTTTTCTATGTTCACTTTCAACTTTCTACCTTTACACACCGCCTCCCTTTCTTCGTCGACATTTAAAAGTTCCTCAAAATATTCTCGCCATCTACCCAAAACCTCCATATATATATATATATACTCATGTACTCTCTGCTCAGGTAGATCTGGCTATGACTTTATAAAATCCACTGTGTGGGTGAAATGTAGTCAATAAAGGATAGCATTATACTCCATTTGTGTCTTTTTCCATCGTGTCTGTATTTTATATCATTTATCTCCAGGTCTGTGAGAACATGTTAGGCAGGAGTAAATGGAGACAAATAGTTTTTAATGGACATAGTGTTAGTGTGTGAGCAAAATAACTTTTATGAAGGGATTCAGCTAAACTGGTTAGCCAGACTCAAGTCCTGGAGGTGGGATATCCACCCTTCTGAAGGCTGAAGGTGGGGTAGGAATATTGCAGTAAGGGTGTAATCCGATTGTGGTGTCAACACACTTTTGGAAAGACAGTAACTGAATCAATGATGGTGAATGTGTTTTCTTGCTTGGGTAACCCTGCCTTGGTTGAGAAAAAAAAAAGAACTTTCACTCACACAAAAAATTCACACACACATATACACACACATTGAGAGGCAAGGCCACTAAGTCTTGACACCTACAACCACATATGGGTGAGTACATACAGGTGAACTTTGTATGAATGAACGTGCACACATACAAGAATGCACACATACACTTGCAACCACACAGGTGAGTACACACATGTACACACACACATGCACACGCAACAGTGAGGGTTATGAGAGATGGTTTATGTGTGAGCACCTGAGAATCAAACAATTATAGTGGATATGAAAAAAATGGTAAAGTAATCTTGATATATGTATATTGCCAGGTTCTTGTCAAAGAGAGAGAGAGAGAGAGAGAGAGATGATATTAATTAATAAGGATACAGTCTGGGTGAAATCTACACATGTATAAAGTTGGATGGAGATTTCCCAAGTAGCTTACTATCACTTCTCATAAGCGACTTGAGGGAGGCAATAAGTTCCTTAGCACGGGTTGCCAAAAATTCTGAGGTGAGTGCCCGTCCTCTATCGTGGCTTGCTGAAGATACTGCATTACTATGGCTGGTTCCAGAGGCAGTAGATGCTACACAGTAGGTACTGAGAGCACGGCTCACTCTGTAAGTTTACACAGAAATTATATTCCAGTGCAGGATTAAATGAAAATTTGTAGCAGGTAACCAGTGCATATTTCAGTATTATAACTAATATAAACATCATAGCAACCTATCCACTCAAATACCCTAAACAGGAAACTTTGACAAGAGGGAAAAGAAAAGTTAAATATTCATAGGTTCAACCATATACAGCTGACCCTTGAACAACATGGGTTTGAACTGCATGGGTCAACTTATACGGGAATTTTTCTCAATAAATATACTGGAAATTTTTTTTTGAGATTTGCAACAATTTGAAAACACTCACAGATGATTCACATAGCCTAGAAATATCAAAAAATTTAAGAAAAAGTTATATCATGAATGCATTAAACATTTGTAGATTCTAGCCTATTTTATCATTTACTACCATAAAATAAAAATAAATCTATTGTAAAAAGTTAAAATTTATCAAAACTTACACAAACAAACACAGATCGTACATGGTGCCATTTGCAGTTGAAAAATGTAAACAAATAAAGATGCAATATTAAATCATAACTGCATAAAATTAACTGTAGTACATACTGTACTACTGTAATAATTTTATAGCAACCTCTTGTTGCTACTGCAGTGAGCTATGGGGAAATGGAGATGAATCCTTCCTCCATAAGCCAAGTGTGTTGTAAAAGGTGACTAAACTGCGGGGCGACAGGGGCTAGTAACCCTTTCTCCTGGATAAATTACTAAATGTAAAACGAAGATAACTTTGTTTCTTTTTTTTTCAGGTCTCCCTGCCTCAGTGGGAGACCACCAGTGTTAAAAAAAGAATTAGTACTTATATGCAAAAACTAATCTCCATGGGGAAGTGGAACAGAATTCTTCCTCCATATAGCTATGCGTGTCGTAAGAGGCGACTAAAATGCCGGGAGCAAGGGGCTAGTAACCTCTTCTCCTGTATACATTACTAAATTTAAAAGGAGAAACTTTTGTTTTTCCTTTTGGGCCACCCCACCTCGGTGGGATGTGGCTGGTGCGTTGAAAGAAAGAAAGATGCAAAAACTAAATGAAATCAGTATATACAATGATGATCTTTATGCCCATTCAAATATTGTTCAGAGGCTCATTAGAATAGTGATATCTGTGCACTTCTGGGAAAGGAAGTTATTGAATTAATGATGGTAAATGTTTTCTGTTTTGTTGGTCACCCTTCCTTGAGGGAAAGGTGATTGGTGTGTTAAAAAATTAAAAAGATTTTGCACATTTATCTTATTGTCAATACAGACAATGGCAACAAATAAAATATATGGCTAAATACATATTGCTCACATGTCTATACCTTCGAGGATTTCCTGACTGAGTTGGAAGTGCCCATACACTTCCTGCTTTTCTAACAGCATCAGAGTTTCTTCTCACTGGTCCAAAGCTGTGAGAAGATGAACTTGGTATTAAGTCTGGAGATGGAGTTTTTTCTGTTTGCCAGCCTATAAGGTGGATCCCCATCATCTTGTATGAACTTAGATGACCCAGCTGCTGTTGTTGCTGAAAGGTATAGTGATGGCAGGCTTGCAGCAGAGTATAAGGAGGTAGTGGGGCTTGCAGGACTTGCCCTTGTACTGTGATAGAAGTCATTTTAAAGGTAAAATTTCACTGTATGAAAAGAAGTCCACCATTCCCGCTTGCAGCCTGTATGTGTGACACAAACGCTCACCTGGGGGAAAAAGCAAAAAGCTTAAGATCTTTTTTTTCCCCTAAATGTAGCCACCCCACAAAACAGTACACTTTGCAAAAAAAAAAAAAAAAAATCATCATGGGGCCAAGGTAATCGGGTTTTACAAAAATAAGCACACAGGTCAACTTTGACCCCATGTTAAGTTAAAAGTTCTTTTCCCAAATGGGCTAACTTTCCATTACGTATTTACATCGACCTCAACAAATGGCAACATTAATAACGAAATTTCGTCAAACGACGCTTTTTGCTGTAAAAAAAATCCAAAACCCAAAACGGCAAAAGATTTAAACCCAAAACGACGTTTGTCCGGAACATGGATGTCCGGGAGCGCAGCCTGGGGGGCCCACCACTCAAGGTCAGTTGCCTTTGTTTAAAACTTTGTGGCGGTTTCCTGTGTGCCTCCCAATAATGGACCCCCGGTTTTAAGATTTTAATCCGTGCAAGAGGGGTCATCGTTATGCGAAAAAAGTTTGCGAATGAATTTTCCCCATAAGAAATAAGAAAAAAAATTAATCCGTCAAAACGCCCAAAAGTATGAAAAATTTTTTTTTACCCATAAAGTTAATTTAATACACACCCAAATGAAAAAAGGGATGCACAATTACAGCACTACTTTTTTGAAGACTGGTGATGATTGATGGGATGGGAGGAGGGGGGGAGCTTATCTTCTTCGTTTAGAAGGGAATCCCCTTTCCCTTTGGGCTTGGGTAGAAGTCCTTTTTCGGGGTACTTCCCTTTTTCTTTAATGCCATGGCCCCGCTTTAAGTCACTGGACCCCTGTCGACAACAAATCGTCCAAGAGCTCTGACCCCCGTTCCTTCAAGACTTTCCAAAATGGGGCCCTAACATTGTCATTTAAAAAGTCACAAGCACGGCTTGCAAAACTGTGTCAGGGTGATTTTCATCTATAAAGGTTTGCAGTTCAACCCCCTCTGCACACATTTCCTTAATCTTTGAAGTAGGCACAATGGATTCCACAACTGGCATAGGCTTCTCAGGGTTAGCCCCAAACCCTTCAAAATCTTTCTTAATTTCCATACTAATTCTCACCCTTTTTACCACAGGGTTGGCACTAGAAGCTTTCTTGGGGCCCATGGTCACTTATTTTCCAGAAACAGCACCGAAAATACTGTAATAATACGAAATATTCCGAGTGTATGCTTGGATGTTACCGCGGAGGCTGGCTGGTAAACAATGGGACGGAGCGGCACATGTGAGGCTGGCTGAGGGCACATTGGACGCGTCTCGGACGAAAATCGGTATGCGGGTTTTTAATCGGTATGCGGGGCAAAAATTTTGCGATAAAAGTAATCGTTATGCGGAAAAATCGCTATGCGATGCCATCGTTATGCGGGGGTCCACTGTATTTTGGATTATTCCACTATTTCTAGTGCTTGTAACTGCTAAATAAGCCACAATGGGTTCCAAGAAAGCTTCTAGTGCCAAGCCTGTGTTAAAAAGGGTGAGAATTACGATGGAAATGAAGGAGGAGATCATTGAAAAATACGAGAGTTGAGTGCGTATGGCTGAGTTGGAAAGGCAATACAACAAATCACATTCAACTATCAGTACTATCTTGGCAAACAGACAGGCAATCAAGGAAGCTGTTGTTGCAAAAGGTTCAAGTATGTTTTCAAAACAGAGACCACAAATAGTTGAAGAGGTAGAGAGACTGTTATTGGTATGGATAAACGAAAAACAAATATCAGGTGATAGTGTTTCTCAGTCTATAATTTGTGAAAAGGCAAGGAAGTTCCATGATGATCTCATTAAGAAAATGCCTCAAAATAGTGCTGCTGCTGATCAATTTAAGGCCAGCAAAGGCTGGTTTGAGAGATTTAAGATTTGTAGTGGCATACACAGTGTGGTAAGGCATGGTGAGGCAGCCAGTTCAGACAAAAATGCGGCTGAAAAATATGTGAAGGACTTTAAGGAATACATAGACTGAAAACCTAAAACCTGAACAAGTGTTTAATTGTGATGAAACAGGCCTGCTTTGGAAGAAAATGCCAAACAGGACCTACATTACTCAGGAGGAAAAGACACTCCCAGGACATAAACCTGTGAAAGACAGGCTGACATTAATGTTGTGTAGTAATGCAAAGTGAAGCCTTTATTGGTGTATCACTCTGAAACTCCCAGAGTGTTCAGGAAAAACAATATCGTCAAGGGTAATTTGTGTGTGCTGTGGAGATCAAACAGTAAGGCATGGGTCACTAAAGTATTTTTCTTGGACTAGTTTTATGGTGTGTTTGGCCCCACTGTGACAAAATACCTCCAGGAAAAGAAATTGGCACTCGAAGTGCCTCCTGGTAATGGACAATGCTCCTGCTCATCCTCACGACTTTCAAGAGGAAATTGCAGGGGAGTTTGGTTTCGTTAAGGTGAAGCCTTTGTCTCCTAATACAACTCTCTTCCAGCCCATGGACCAGCAGGTCATTTCAAACTTCAAAAAACTCTACACAAAAACAGTGTTTCAAAAGTGCTTTGAAGTGACCTCAGACACTTAATTGACCCTAAGAGAGTTTTGGAAAGATCACTTCAATATCCTCAGTTGTGTTAACCTTATAGGTAAGGCTTGGGAGGGAGTGACTAAGAGGACCTTGAACTCTGCTTGGAGGAAACTGTGGCCAGAATGTGTAGAACAGAGGGATGTTGAAGGGTTTGGGGCTAACCCTCAGGAGGCTATGCCACAAGTGGAAGCTATTGTGTCATTGGGGAAGTCCTTGGGGTTGGAGGTTTGTGACTAGGATGTGGAAGAGTTAGTGCAGAATGAAGAGGAAGAACTAACTACTGCAGATCTGCAAGAGCTTCAGGAACAACAGCAACAGATCACATCTCAGGAATGTTCTTCAGAGCAGGATGAAGAGAGACGGAGAAGATGACTTCATCAAAGATTAGGGAAATGTGTTCAATGTTTACAAAGGTGCAAGCATTTATCAAAGAATTTTATCCTGTCACTGAAGTTGCAAGCTGCATTGGCAACAAGTACAATGACACTCTTGTGTCCCATTTTAGGGAAATCCTAAGGGCACGTGAGAAAGAGCTCTCTGGACAGCTATTTTGTGCGACAGGGGTCCAGCGACTCTCGAGCTGGTCCTAGTGGCATTAAAAAACCAAGGAGGGAGGTAACCCCACCAAAGGACTTGGTACCTGAAGTCCTTCTGGAAGGGGTTTCTCCTTCCAAGCAATAGACAATTCTGAATTTCCACTGCTGCTGGCACATCACTCATAACAACTCCACAATAAAGGTAAGTGGCATTTAATTATTGTTTATTTTGCATGTCTCATTCCTTTCCATATAAGGAAATGTATCTTTCATGTAAAAAATAATTTTTTTTTTCAGTCTTTGGGGTGTCAGGAACAGATTAATTCTATTTCCGTTATTTCTTATGGGGAAAATTAACTCGAACAACGGCAATTTCGACGAACGGCAAGCCCTCTGGAATGGATTAATGACGTTGGTTGAGGGTCCCCAGGGAGGTACTACCGTCCTACCAAGTGAGTGTAAAACGAAGCCTGTGATTGTTTTACATGATGGTAGGATTGCTGATGTCTTTTGTCTGTCTCATAAATATGCAAGATTACAGGCATGTCTTGCTACTTCTACTTACACTTAGGTCACACTACACATACATGTACACATTTATTTATACACACTCATCTGAGTTTTCTTTGATTTTATCTTAATAGTTCTTGGTCTTATTAATTTTCCTTTTATATCCATGGGAAGTGGAATAAGAATCTTTCCTCCGTAAGCCATGCGTGTTGTAAAAGTCAACTAAAATGCCGGGAACAATGGGCTAGTAACCCCTTTTCCTGTAAAGATTACTAAAAAGAATAAGAAGAAGAAAATGTCAAAGTGGGAAGTCTGAATGTGCGTGGATGTTGTGCAGATGATAAGAAAGAGATGATTGTGGATGTTATGAATGAGAAAAAGCTGGATGTCCTGGCTTTAAGTGAAACAAAGCTGAAGGGGGTGGGAGAGTTTCAGTGGAGAGGAATAAATGGGATTAGGTCAGGGGTTTCAAATAGAGTTAGAAGCTAAAGAAGGAGTAGCAATAATGTTGAAGGATAAGCTATGGCAGGAAAAGAGGGACTATAAATGTATTAATTCAAGGATTATGTGGAGCAAATAAAGATTGGATGTAAAAGGGGGTTATAATAAGCGTGTATGACCTGGAGAAGAGGAAGTGTAGGGGAAGAGAGGAAGATTTTGGGAAAAATTTTGGGTGAATGCGGGGGGGTTTTTGAATCGTGTGAGGTAATGGGGGTTTTGGGGTTTTTAATGCTAAAGGGGGTTAAAAATGTTATGGGGGGAGTAGTGGGTTTTAAATTTTGGGGGTGCCGGGGGTAAATGAAAGGGGGGCCCTTTTAAATTTGAGCTATGTGTAGAAAGAAATTTGGGTAAAAAAGTAATACTATTTTATGAAAAAGAGGATAATAAATAAAAGGGTATGATTTTGCATAAGAAAGTAGTTTATTAGTTATTATTGGTGGAAAAAAGGTTGAGGGGTAGGCCCAGGATGTACATGTTTATAGAGGGGCAACTAATATGGTCATTATTTAGTTGTAGCTAAGTTAGAGTAAGGGGTAAGGGAAAGGGGAAGGGGCAACAAAAGAAAGAGGGGGGTGAAAGTGTATAAACTAAGGGGGGGAGGATTGGGGTGAGAATGCACTTTTGGGGCAGAAAGGTGGGCTATGCAAAGATAGAAAGTGGGGGGGTTAAAAAGGGGGTTGGGAATTTTTTTAAAAATGCAGTATTAAAAAGGGGCAGAAGTTTTGGTTATGGGGGTGGGGGCGGAGGAAA